AGTACTTAGCAAATCCAAACACCTAAGCGCTAAGAAAGTTACCAGAAATCATCTTCAAATTATTGAAAACTGAGATGTCTCAATGCCAATGGACAACCTTAGATGTCTCAATGTCAAATCAATATGTCAAAATCTCCATATTAGAAACCAAACGCACAGCATTTCTAGTAAACAAACTTGTATTGCAATATTTCCTAGTCATCGTTCCGCTCATAGTGCTGTTGTTTAAGCACATCTATCTCAACTTCTATATTGAAGACACCTTTTGTGGGAATGGAGTGAATCTATTTGTAGTGCTGAGAGACTTCCATTACCACCTTGTCCATGAACTGGCATTTCTTGTCAAATCCCCACCCCGGATTGCTCTGTAAGATAGATAACTGTCAGATATTACGTCACAGTTGAAACATGCGAAACAAGTGTCCAGGTAAAAGATGAAACAATGACAAGACATCTTTATCTTTTAGATACATGATCAATTCAAGAAAAAACAAGCAACTAATCCATAGAACTAAATTACAATCTTCAAAGGAGACAAAGGCCTTTGATATAAAAATGAAAAAAAAAAGAAAGATGAAAATACAACATACCAAGTGTAATCCCACAAATGGGGAAAAGAAAGATGATAATGACTGATAATATTCAAATATAACACTATAGTTACTCTTTTATAAGTAAATAGAAGACGATGACTAGTCATAATAGTCATTTTGGGGTGTGTGTGTGGGGTGGTTGGTGTGGGGGGGATAACCTATCTATACATGACACATTGTAGTAAATTTTCCAATTTCAACATTTTACATGGCAAGTTTAAGATCACAAGAATCAAAGGACGACACACGTCTTTAATTTAAGTGGTGAGTTTCATACTGTTTTTTACTAATTATGATGGGATAACCACAGAACAATACATAGAGACTAGTACCAAATAAGATGATTGATTCCCTCATTTTGTAAGTCAGTTTTTCATTTCTTTAATGCTCAGAGAGAAATCTTTCATTCTTAGACCAGTTTTCTATGTCTTAACATTCAAGTAATGAGGTTTCATTCTTATTAGACTTAAAATATAATTAAAACAAATAAATGTTTGGAAGTCTCCAGCAGGTCCTTAATGCTGATGAATACAACCTTACCCTTAATCCAAAAAAAAAAAAAAAGCAAACGAATGTTTGATAATACTTGACCTGTAGAGACAAAACAGCACGCTCTGTGAACCGCTTTACTGAATTAGGTGCACTCTCTGGAAGAGTTTTTGCTACTCTTTCCAGCTCTTGTTGCTGTTGCTTTGCCGTTACTCTATCGGGCCCACTGTAGTAATCAACTATCTCTTTCATAAGTGGGACAGTCTCCATAGTTTCTTTGATGACTTCCTGCAAGGAAAAAAAGGATGTGAAGTCAGCTAAAGAAGATGATCAACAAAGAAGAAGTTACCAAGAGATTAACTGCTTTATTTTTTATGATCATCAAGTCAAACAATTTCTTTCCCAAGCGGGATAGTGTCCAGACTTACTGCAAGGAAAACAGAATGGGTGATTCTGCTGGTTCTGGAGCTTATTGTATTATTAAGGGGAAAAGGTTATTTAGAGATGTTTGGTAGCTAGTTATGAAGTTAGTTATCCATGAATAAAATAAATATAACGGTTGGTTTGCAATTAAGAAACTCACATAACTAATTATAAGTTATGTATAAGTTATGACGGAAAATTGGTGTATTATCTTGTGCGGGGTAAAAGATGGAATAACCAATACCTGCATAACTAATACCTGCACGACGACTCCTTGGTGTTAAGAGCCATTGATTTGTTGCTTAAAGAATGTGAAGGAACGGCAATCGTTTCATGGGTGAAGACATAATGTATTTTGAGCAATAACACAAAGTGATTCACGCGCGAAATGGCTGGTTCTCTGAAACTCAACTTGGAGGGGTCGGACTTGGACTCATATCATTGTATATTGGATGCTAAAATTAGTTATTTTAAAAGCAATTTGATTATTATGGTACTAAATTTTATACATTAGACTTTTTAGAAAAAAATCCTTATATTATGCGCTTCACCTAAAAAGAAGGCTTCCCCTTGTTTCTCCCTTGTCACTCCAAACCTCATGGGCCTTGTTGCCTATTTGCGCTTTTTGTTCACAAAACTGTGGTTATTTCATAGATGTTGACATGAGTAAGGGAAGAGGCACAACTTGAACTACCTTGCGGGAGAACCAAGGGATGAGCAACACTAAAGGCAATGTTCTCTTAATCTCATAGCATAGAGTTTACTTCTGTGTATGAATCAAAGTCTCCAACTGTGAAAGAATGTCCCTAGTAGGGGATTGCTTAGGCCCATGAAGTCTGAATACCCAATCAGGAAAGAAGTCTAAATTGACATTTTTAGTTGATCCTTCTTAATAGGAAAACTAGCCTAAACACTTCCATAATAAAGCTTCATCTAAAAGCTCGAGACTTTTGAACCTGCCACTATATACAGTACAATCCCCAAAGGTTCAGGAATAAAGAATCATAGAACAATCGCTATAACTACATGTACTTGGATCCTTCTACAGTCAACAGAGTTTTATTTATTAAGGCGTCTAGGCATAGATATGTATACTAAATTCCACTGAAGCTTGGTATCATTACATCCAGAAACCTGAAAACTTGTGACGTTGTCAAGCTAACATTCATATAACCACATCAATACTAGTGTAGTTCGTGAATCAGGCGCACCAGTCTCTCTTTCTCTCCTAATTCAATGAAATCAATTATTTTGCTATAGAGAGGTCAAGGCATAGCAGTGGCCTTTTTTCTTAAATAAAGAGTAACAATATTGAAAGTTCTTCACTAACCAAAGGGCATCACCTAGGCTTACTTTTTGCATATAGGACTAATACTTTAAGCATAAAATGCAATGTGAAACTTTTGGAGTTGAGGTAAAAGCACTAGATTCATGGGTGATATGCCATGAATTGTCAGCTAGAAATCAATTAAGTCCTCTCTAAGTTTATGAAATTAGTGCGATTAGGACATCGATGTACCGTACAATGTTTGCTCAAACGTCCTGGGCATACATGAAGTATAAAAGCATAAAAACAATGAAGATCTTACAAGCACACAGTTCAAAAGATAGATCAAATCACAAATAGAGGAAATGACGATATGGTTTAAGAATCTAATATCATGTCAAGTAAGGTTTGGCAGGATTCAGCAAGTATAAGATCCTTACAGGTTTGACTAAACATAGCTGAGGCAACACAAATATAGCAAATGGTTTATATAACAGAACGCAATATGACAAAAGTAGAAGCAAGTTAAATCCCGTTTTACCTCCCACTCTTCTTGATCTTTAATCCCTTCATATGCCATGAGGAATGGCTTCATTTTTTCAAGAGCATCACGAAGAGGAATTGGAGGTGTCTCATCAATATCAGGATTGCTTTCAAAGTCTCCCATCAGGTACTCTGGTTCACACTCTATCTGCGGGAAAAAAGTAACATCAGAGAACTATATAAAGCAACTAAAATTACTTGGATGAAACAAATCTTTCAACAAGCCAAATGTTACCATCATGTTAGTGTGAAGGGCTTCTAAGTATGCATCATCCATGGGAGAAGGCAACACTCTGGCACTCATTTCTTCAAAGCCTTCCGCCAATGTGTTCATACTTTCAGGTCCAAGCTTCGCAGCCAACTTCTCCCCATCAGCATCATCACCTAGATAAAAGCCACTCTCCAAATTACCATCTCCTCTCTCCTCATCCCGACGACCTCTTCCTCTTCCTCTACCCCTTCCCCTTCCTCCTCTGCCTCTCACCGCACCACGACCACCCCTCCCTCTAAAACCTCCTCCCATTCCCCTTCCACCACCAACATCACCATCATCACTTCTTGATAATATCCCTACAGCCTTTTTTACTGCATCCTCCCTACTCAACCTCTGGGGAGGTGGACTGCTCGCTCTCTCCCCTGAATCTGCAACTTTCTGCTGCCGAGGCCGGAGATGGCGATTCTCTTCCTTAGGCTTCTCAGAGACAGAAGAAGCCGTTTGCAAGGGCTTCCCTCGGCCCGCACCAGTCAAAACTGATATTACACTAGAAGGGAGATTTGAATCATCTCTTGGTTTTGGAGCATTTGAAGAACTAGAATTTGAATCAGTTGTTTCTTCTTCCTTCGCAAAGAAAATCGGTTTCCTCAGTGGCTGCTGCTGCTGTTGTTGCGGCTGAGGTGGTGGAGAAAACGGGCCGATCCCACCTCGGCCACGGCCAGCAGGAGTATTAGGGTTATCAACGAAGGAGTGAAATGAGGGAACAATTGGGGACGAAGGTAATGGTTTACCTCGGCCTCGTCCATGTCCAGTTCCAGATGGAGTAGCAGGAGTCGATGATTCCGGTTTGGAGTCTTCGGATGCGGATTTTCCCGGACTAAATCCAAAGTTTGGGGAATCGGAACCTCGTCCCCTGCCTCTACCACCTCCGCCGCCGCCGGAGAAAGTGGAAAAAGCGGAACCCGATGAGGCGGTGATGGGTCGGCCAATAGAGCAGTGAGAAAGCTTGCTTAAGCTTCGTCTCATTTCTTGTGAAGTAGTGTTAATGAGATCCCAAAGAGGAATGGTGCTTCTTCGTCTCCAGCACGAGGGTTTAACGACCCGGCACGAAAAGTGTTTCAAGTGATAGTTTTGGGTTTAGATTTTGTAAAAACAAGATTCTAATAGGACTAATTCGTAATTTCATGAATTGGATTTTAACACAAGTTTGTGATTTGCTACTTTAGAGCACACAATTTAATTTTCGGATAAATCAATCCCTCCAATTCTAATCAATAAAATAAAAGCTCATATAGCCAATCAATTTCATTTTCTAGTATATTTAGTTTGCCAATAAAAAAAATATATATATATATATTTGAATTAACTACTTACTTCATTTAGTATTAAAAATTCATATCAATACTAATAACCGAAATAAATACTAGTAAACGAAAAAGAATTAGTTATCATTTTTGGTACTAAACATAGAAAATGACTTATTAGTCTTATTATATATTGATTGGAGCAAACTCATCCGATTTATATTCATTTTCCTGATATTATCCTCCTTTGTCACCTCACATTAGTCTGATACAAAATTAGCAGCAAACTATGGATTCATCAAAAATCACTCTCCGTCCATACAGATCAACGGACGTTGATGATGTACTCTCATGGGCATCTGATGATCGCATAACCCTATCCACCCATTTCAGCACGTTGACTTCCAATGAGGCTGCGTTGAACTTCATCAACAACTCCTCCATACCTTGGCGTCGATCCATATGCATCGACGATCGATCGATCGGGTTGGTGGTGGCCCGACCTGGATCGGGTGATGACAGATGTCGAGCTGAGATAGGATATGTTTTAGGATTTGAGTATTGGGGACAGGGGATTACAACGGAGGCTGTGAAGATGGCAATTCCTTTGATTTTGGAAGAGTTCCCTGAAATAGTAAGGCTTCAAGCATTATCTAATGCTGAGCATAAAGCATCGCATAGAGTGTTAGAGAAGGCTGGGTTTACAAAAGATGGTACCTTAAGAAAGTATTTATACTTTAAAGGTGAAATCAAGGATGTTGTACTTTATAGTTTTCTTTCTTTCCACTGATCCTATACCTTCATGAACCTTCAACTTCATCCGTCGATAGTCTATTGAAAATAACCGATGTATTATGTTAGTATTGCGAGACTCTACTTGTACTTGTATATGGTATATTATACCTTCATGAAAATTAAAGATATATGTTTTCTACTTCTTTTTTTGTTTTTATTATTGATTATTGAGTTGTGTGCGAACAGACTCATCAGAATATCAAAATTATCAACATAATTTGAAAAGTATTTGAGTTAATTTATCTCTCTTTTATTACGATATATAGTTGTGGTCCGGCCTATTCCCACAGTCATTTTTCCCATTTTAAAATCCAAAGCTTTGACTAACAATTATAAAGAGTAGGTATTACTCCATTTATGTTACTATTATAATATGTTATGTATTATTGAACACCAACAAACCATCCAATCTCCAATTATTGATACTGAGAGAGAGATCTGTTCTACTTGAATTATAGATATGAACTCCTCAAGAATTAGTCTGCGTCCATTTAAGTTATCGGACGTCGACGATATGATGTTATGGGCAGGCGATGATCGCGTAACTCAAACCATCCGATGGGATACTTTGACCTCAAAAGAAGAGGCATTGACCTTCATCAAGGATGTATGTATACCCCACCCTTGGCGTCGATCTATATGCATCGATGACCGTTCCATTGGATTTGTATCTGTATTCCCAGGATCAGGTATTCTTTTGCTTTATTCTCATTTCACATTCCATTCACTAGCTCGACTGATCTGGATACCCTGTATCAGGTGACGATAGAAGTCGAGCTGATGTCGGATATGCTGTTGCTTTTGAGTATTGGGGGCAAGGGATTGGTACTGAAGCACTCAAATTGACGATCCCTCAAGTGTACAGTGAGTTTTCTGAAGTAATGAGGCTTCAGGCATTAGTTGATGTTGAGAACAAGGCATCCCAAAGGGTACTGGAGAAGGTGGGTTTCATCAAGGAGGGAAAATTGAGAAAATATGGATATCACAAGGGGAAATTAGTGGATCTGTTCATGTACAGTCTCTTATCCACTGAATCGATTTACTGATACCACTGGCGCAATTCTTTCTTAGCACATGTAATTGGAAATTAGTCATCGTTCCAGGTTGTTTTCACTGAAACTCCGGGGGACAATGGCTATTTTGAGATGAACTTTCTATCAAATTTATGAATTCTTGGAGAGATAATTTGAGTGCCATATTAAAACTTTGAAATCAATGTTGACCTATATCAGTTACTTTTAAAGAAAGTATAATCCCTATAGCACAACCTGAAGAAAAATATTAATTCCACTTCTGTTTCTTTTATAAAAAAATGAGCCTCGTTTACCCATTTTAACTACCAACTTTTATATAGGTATCCAGAACTCATTTAAGTAATTTGAATGGGTACCCATATAAATTACCCATGTTGCGATTTCTATCGTTATCGATGAAGAGAACCAGCAACAGCAAAGTTGAGTCTATTCAAAATCAATATTTTTATAAGTAACTATTCTTCCAAACAAAGGAAGAAAAAACAGATAATTTATAAGGTACACACTCTTTCGACAAAAGAAAAGTCTAATGATCACCAGCTCTTTCCATCAAAACTTCAGAACAGCAGAAATCCTGTCACAAGCAGAGCATCAAATGATTAACAGAGGAACCAGGAATATAGTACACATGTATGATATATGAAATGGAACTTAATATTCTTTTTTGATAAAGTCATCAACTTAATAAAGATGAGCAGTATATCATTTACTTACATATCTTGTTGAAAGCAACAATATCACAGCTCTGCACATACTCATTGATAGGCTCAACTGTTAGATAATTCTCAATGAGATCATCCACGGAGACCAAATCATCCACAATGGTAAGCATAATTTGCAGCTTCTTTATACCATATCCAACAGGAACAAGTTTAGCTGAAATGAAACCACAGTTATGCTTGTCAACAAACACCAACAATTTAATAAAATTTTCTGGACAAAACAGTGAACTGATGGAATAAGACACGAGCAATCAAGAAAGAAATGCTAAAAGCTATTGAAGTGATTCAAAAGCAATTGTCTCTCAACTCTTCAGGTAAAAAAATAAAATTCAACTCAATAGAACAAAAACAGAAACTCACATGCTCCAAAAGTCAATCCTTCCATAGTAACACTTCGAACTGCTTCTTCAAGCTTTTTCATATCAGTCTCATCATCCCATGGCTTGACATCCATGAGAACAGAGGACTTGCCAGCTGAAGTCAAATGAGATCAAAAGCAATGTCAGTCTTTGCTCATTATGAACGTCAAAGTTCCAACAAGTTTCTCCTCTTAGTGTTCGACTTGGTTGGTTAAAGGTAAGAAAGTCTTTACCGAAACGAAGCCACTAACTAGGCAGCAACAACACATGCTTTTCCAAGTTCTTAAATCAAAACAGATATTGAAAATTTTAGACAGGATAGTACAGTACAAACTTACATTCTTTCTTCTTCCCTGAAGCCTTCAATGCTGCAGCGCGTTCTTCAGCAGCTTTCTTTTCCTCTTCAGTCTCCTCACCAAATAGGTCAACGTCATCATCGTCGTCATCATCGTCAGCAGCTGAGGCCTAGAGGCAGTTAATCAAAGAGAAACAGATGACAGAAGATTATTTCATTGCAATAGTCCATTCACAGTTTCACATAGCATTATTCTGCTAAAAAGATATAAAGGGACTGACAATGACAAAAAGAAAATTCACTTTGTGATGCAATCCAAACAGCTGCACCAAGAATGAGAAGGCAACACAAACTAAATATCAATTCAGAACAGATAAATGTCACACCTTACTGTCATCAGCAGGGGGAGTTGCAACAGCCCCAGTGATGGGTGCAGACCCCTCTACAATAACACCAGCACCTACACCGGATACACCACTGCAGGAAAATGACATTCAGTGAGATCAGTTTGCTAAGGAAGGAGAATGTACTTAACAATTCCCAAGATACAAGTTGAAGAAACTAAAAATACCAATCAAACATACTAAAGGAAAATACAAAGTCAATACGCTCTTGGACTTACGAGATTCTCAAAAGTGCATCAATGTGCTTATACCACCTCAATGCATTAACATATTCAGCTGATGGAGGTTTTGCTAGATATGAATACACAGTGATATCATCCTTTGATGCTTGGTACCTGAAGACATGGATTAAACAACAAACATTCACATTTGAATACAATTAAAATAGCATCAGAGTAAACATGTAAATCACAATACAATAGTAACTCACTCACCCACTGATGTAACTGCGGGTCAGGAGGAAGTCGTCAAGCTTCTTGAGGCCAGATTCAGAGTTGACGTTCTGAAATGCAACAGCCATTGCTTGGTGCTAATATATATAAGCCTCTCTGCAATTGTACAAGAATACAACATCAACACTTGCATTGTCCAACAATTAATACTAACATGTTGCGTATTTCACCAACCAACTCGGTGCACACAAACCATATATACTACCCGACTAATCTGACATTCCAGAATCAATGGAATTGTGAGAACATGTATTCTAGGTCTCCTTGACCAAAAACCCGTTAAAGTCGCAATATATTACCCTCACCTACGCCTAAAATCATCACCGAATGCAATGGTGTAATTGGGTGTGCCTAAATTTTGAAAGGCAACTACAAATCACTAAACAGGTATTAATAATAATATAAGAAAAAACTATTCCGATCTGGGTTTAGCTTAAAACTCCTCTACCCATCAATGCAATCCTGAAGGCGTCGCCGCCACTAAAGCAGTGGCTATAGGCCCAAGAAAAGTTACAAATCCGAATGAATAAAATTGAATTCAAACAAATACACAAGGATATATCATATGTTTCATGAGACTCAAATCTATATACATACGAAAACGCAGAATCGCACACAAATTCGAGCAAGAGGCAACATTAAACGAAGAATCAGTAAAGCGAATAGATGAAGGAGATACATACATTGGAAGAGATACAACAGAGCTGAACAAATGTGATGAACTGTGTGAAGCAGCACCCTATACTTAGCAGAATGTGTGCTCGGAAAGACCAAAATACCCTGGCTGAAGCCCTAACATCGACATGTGTTGAGGCCCATTAAACATAACTCTGTCATATTGGGCCTGCCTGAAGGACTTCCCCTGAGAAATAAATATACGAAAAATTGCAAATATGTGTTATGTATGTATTTACTATACAAATGCTATAAGTTTGAAATCATGTCCAAAAAACTTCATAGTTATTCACTAAGAACTTCTATATTTCATATACATTTGATATAATTGTGTTCACTAATACATATTGTATCCACTCACATATGTGATACGTTTGTATTCACTAATCCAAGTTGTTCTTTGCTATTCATTGATATAACTTATCTCCTCACTTCTAAAATTCGACTCAGTTCTCTTCTTCTTTTAATATTTAGTTATAGATCGTAAATTATATTTCTATTTTTTTTTAAAAAAAAAAGTGAGAAATAAATTTAAAGTGATTACTATATTTTGATTGGACCAAACACACACTATAATTTGTACATTTTTTTTCTTATATAGAAGTGTATCCTACAAGGCTGAGCATAGATCTTACATCAGTCTAGCTAAATGGATTCATCAAGAATCACTCTCCGTCCATACAGATCAACGGACGTTGATGATGTACTCTCATGGGCATCCGATGATCGCGTAACCCGCTCCATCCATTTCAGTACATTGATTTCCAAAGATGAAGCCCTCACCTTCATCCACAAATCCTCCATTCCTTGGCGTCGATCCATATGCATTGACGATCGTTCAGTCGGAATCGTGGTGGCTCGGCCCGGATCAGGCGATGATAGGTGTCGGGCCGAGGTAGGATATGCTTTAGCAGTTGAGTTTTGGGGACAGGGGATTACACCCAAGGCTGTAGAGATGGCAATTCCTTTGATTTTGGAAGAGTTTCCTGAAATAGTAAGACTGCAAGCATTAACTGATGCTAAGAATAAAGCATCACATAGAGTGTTGGAGAAGGCTGGGTTTAGAAAAGAGGGTATGTTTAGAAAGTATTTTTACTTCAAAGGTGAAATCAAGGACGTTGTACTTTATAGTTTTCTTTCCACTGATTCATGACATTTATAACTTGCTTGCTTGGACCTGATATATTGTATTGTTAGTTTAAATACATTGATTGAATACTTTGAATTCAAAAGAAGCGTTGAGTTTTATCAAGAATCCCTCGCATATTCATTGACTTTCCTGGAATTGTAAAGCTTGGTATGCTGATTCGCAGAACAAGGCTTCTCATAAGGTTTTGAGGAGGCTGGATTTCTCTGCCAAGGTTCAATAACAAATTATACAAGCATTAAGAAAACTGCAAATGTGGTTGATTTTATGGTTTACTATCCAGAGACTATGGGGAAATACTAACGCTCTGTTAAAGCTATGACATAAACGATTGAGATATTCAAAGTTGTAGTACAAACTAAAGAAAGAAAGATTTGGCATAATACGTGAGATATTGTAGTACTGTTTTTGAAGGCAACCATATATATTCATTATAAGAGACAACTTAGCTTCTGTTGTATAGACTATACAGGGATTATGTGCGGCACCACCCCATTATTTCGAAGGGGGGTTTTTCAACCAACGAATTTATGATCATTAAGACTATACAACTCAGAAAGACACCCGTTCCCTTTGGGATCAACTTATACACAACCACTATACAAGTAACAACACATTTAAGGACCACTACCAAGGTTGCTTTTGCTTTTTCTTCCTAAATCATCTCTGAGCAACAAGAACCATTTACCCACTTCGCCAAGAATCTTTCCATTTTTGCAAATGAGCGAAACCAGAAACCTTCTTTTTCCCAAGTGATCAGCACTTGAGGAAGACGAGGAAATTTACGGGGTAGAATTTACTGAGATTTCCTGAGGCAAGCGGGAGTTCAGCTGATCTACATAGGCAGGAATGACAAGTCGTTGCAATGGTGTTAAAGCCACAGTTAGCTGTGCAAATGATGGACGCAAGTTTGGATCGCTGGAAAAAATACATGTACGAGGTAATTAGCATTTTCTGCATCTTGAAAAAAGAAAAGATAAAGGTGTATGTCACTCTTACGTTTGCCAACATTCCCATATTATTCTTGCTACTATAGGATCAAGTTCCTTGGGAATTTCAAGGCGTTTATTCTGGAAGCCAACAGCTCCCACCACTTGCATAGGATTCATTCCACTCCAAGGTAATCTTAAGGTAGCAAGTTCCCATAGAATGACACCAAAACTGTATATGTCACACCTGTCAAATGACCAAAATTTTAGCCGAGGAACACATAGCATGGAGAACTCAGCAAGTACAAAATCTGCTGCAAAATAAACACGTTCAAAACTTAGCCATCTATGAGCTCATTTCATCCTACGTGACCAAGAATTCCACAAAGGAAAATGTTCATTCTGGAAACCACGTTCAGTTCAAAATTAAGATACGGAGTGTTAAAAGAGTTCACCAACAGACTATGCCACTACAATCCTCCAGGTTATATTCACTATTTTATAAGTTTGAAACTACAAGAATATCTCTGCACAGACTATGAGCGAAAACATGGAATTAGTAAAGAAATTCTTAACTCACTTCTCATTCGAAGGTTCATTGCGGAGAACTTCTGGTGCCATCCACTCAGGCTATGGAATTAAAAAACTAGGTTAGACAATAACGAAAGCAAGTGAAGAAAGGAAATAACTAGTATCCAAACTTCATAGCAACGGAATACATCTAACCAATAGAAAACAGATACATTGTTCTCACCGTTCCAGCTGTTGATTTGGAAGACAAAAATGTGTTGTGCTTCAACCGAGACAAGCCAAAATCACATACCTGCATTCCAAGATTTAAGAGTTACTAATAGTAGTCTCTCCAAAGACATCCGACAAATTAAGGAATGGTTCTCACAGATCCAGAGTTACTAATACAAACAACCACAACCAAGTATACACCCCCTTCAAAATGAACAAAACCACACAATTGCATTGCTACAAAAGTTTGCTCAAAGTTCACACAGTCGGTGAGCATTGCACTGAAACATTTAGGGTTTACAACCAACTCAACAAACCATAAATAAGATCAACTTTTTTTATAACCATAATAAGAACAACTTTTAGTAACCGAGAAGTCCTCAAGGGCTGATTGGGGAGCAGTTCGAAGTCCAGTGGAAATTAGGTTCATCCTTCCCACTTCTCTCCACTTAAATACCCAACTATCTCCACGACAAGGTTCAAACTCATAATGTGAGCTAATTCACACATCCCACCTTGCACTCAACCATAACACTAGGAGAAAATGATAAATTTTGCTCGCTCAAAAATAACACCAGTTCATGCAAGGTAACGAGAACATGAAAACATTAGAAAACGAATTACCTTAACATTCCAGTCCGTATCAACCAAAAGATTAGGTGACTTCAGATCACGGTGAACAATTGTAGGGTTGCTTGTATGTAAGCAATCCATGCCCTTTGCCTGCAATAAGAGAACATCAAAGATCAACATAAGCAAAAATATGCTGATCAATTGGTCCGAAGATCCAGCAATATTGATCATGTAAAGATGATGTTAAACCTTACCACATCAAGGGCCATTTTGATTCTCTGCCTTTCATCAATTTGAAAATGAGGACGATGAATTATCCGATATAAGCTACCTCTGAAAAGCATGATATATTGGATGAGTAATTCATCCTTCACAAGAATTTTTTTTCAAAATCACTTATTAATTGCCATAATCAGATACTGTTTAATAACTATGGCTGAAAGAGACATCAACAATTGGCACTTTGTAGTACCACAAATCGAACACAACAAGGAAAGAATTTAGCATTCATCTCCGTAGTATTTACATCATATTAGAAGAAAATTCTTGGAGAGTTCTCAAAAACCATATAACGTGGAAACAATTATAAGGTGATCAAACCAAAGGTTTATAATAAATAAATATTAATCCAAATGATAAACCTTCTTCTCATGGATTCATCATCCTTAATTGCTAATAAAGACACCCAGAAGAATATTTATGTTAGCTGAGTGAATATGAGAGATGCATAGTTTGTAAGGTTTGAATCATTAAAATCTCAACATATTAACTGTTTTTGCTGCTTCTTTTTTTCCAAACACTTATTAGGCCTGAATGAAGAACGTCCAGGGTGCTATATATAGGGAAACTGATACAACGATTTATGCACAATATAAAAGAATCATGCTCTCTTTGTAGTTTGCACCAGTGGACACTATCTTTTACATGGATTACCGAACCAAATATGAGTAAGAAACAAGTATTGGCAAGTAACTGGTACACATATATTCAACTTTTACTACTTAAATGTATAGTGAATAATTTGCATCGAGTGCTTGCACCTAACCCATATCTTTTCAGAACAAGTATGTCGAAGGAAAAAGTCCACAATAACCAAAATCTTACTAATGATAACAATATGGAAGAAAAAAAGGGTTGAAATTAAAATACAAGCATACCGTGGTAGGAATTCAGTGATAATAGAAAGGTGGGGCGGCCGAGTTATAGCACCCATAAAACGAACAACATTTGGATGTCGTAATCGACGCATGATGCGCACCTGCCATTAAGAACCAATCATGTTAATATGTTAATTAATGATGCATTTTAACAGGAAGAAAGTTGAGCAGCAAACAAAAGAAATACGACAAACATTACGTCTGAGGAATATCTCTTCAAAGTACACAAGAAGACCTATCCGAAACTGATTAGCAGCTAATGTAGAAGATCAGACCTACTATTCTCGTCAAACAAGGTCCTACGAAAATGGAATTGACAAACTAAAGCTGAAAGTTAATCATCTTTTCCTGCATTGTAAGATCACAACTCAGCTATAGAGGTTATTTACTAGCATAAAAGGAATGTCATGTGTGATGCTAGGGAGAATTGTGCATGCTTTGGAAGTCTGGATAGTTACAGCAGCCTCTCTATCCAAAAGGAGAGATGGAAAATTATCCCTGCTAGTATCTGGTGTGAAGAGAAGGGAATCAGAGAAGTTTTGAGAACAACTGCAATACTATTCAGTAGCTGAAAATGAATTGCTTGGTGTTGTTTTATTTTTGGTAACGGGAATACATGGAAGATCCAGATTCACTTATGGATATGTTAGGATCCTTGTAAGTTTTTGATATAGGATTAGAAGATCTTCCCAATAATCCCCTTGTAATTATGGATACCTGCAAGAATTTTTTTTACTGCAGGATGGAATACTGTGATAAACTTTTTTTGATGATTGAGGCGTCCAGACCAGATTTTGCACACTTCGACTAATTCCATGAGATACCTATGACCTCTCACCAGCATCAGGTGCAGGAACTCTGTCCACCCATGCTTAGGACAAATGAAAAAAAAAATCACCTAATATTTTTGTCACTTTTGGATCTGAACCTGATATTACAGTGATATAATACAAATCTTATCTTTTCAAAACCAAAAACATAAACTGAAACAAGAATGGAAGATACACAAGTCATGCTCGTGATGGGAAATATTTATACATGTCATTTTTAGGTAGTAAAGACAACAAAGATATTTGGTGACATAAATTTTCACATCCCGATATAAGGGTAAGTCAATCTTTCTATGAATAGAATGGAATAAAATATCGAAGAGTACTTCATTCCAATTTTTACAACTCTTTTCAAGTTGGTACTATACAAAAACTATGACACCATTGACTAATAATATCATTCACACACTTCTCGCAACTTTCAAGAATCCAAATTATTTTTTGCTACTCAAAATTTGTAACTTTAATTTGATGTCTTCTCTATCAATCTAACTTTTCAACCACTATCCTAGTATTCTCTTCATATGTGTCTACAATTTTTGGCAAAACAGAATATTAGTTTTCATGAGAGCATCCCCTGGTCAAATTCAATCAGATTCAATAAAGCCCTGACCCATTTCAAATGATGAGGGGAACATCTAATGGTCAGACCATTTGAGAGCCTTGCACGATTTTGAGAGTTAACGACATGATAGAACAAAAATGATAGGGAGAATTGATAACAACTGTTACAGATTCATGTTGGCACTAAAATACCTTTAAGTCAAATTAACAACTTAAACCTGGTCTTCAGATAGATTATGCCAGCACATATAGTTTGTGGGCAAACCATCCAGGACTCTTGAAAACAGACAAAAGGTTCTCTTACAGCTACAATG